TAAGTAAGCTCGTTTATAGACTGTCGTTGGGAATCCTTTTTAGCAAGCTTTAGTTCCCTTGGTTTGATGGGAATTCGGGGTAATTTATGACGTTTGACAAGTGAAAGATCGATGGCAGAATAGCATAAACACCCTGAGTCCACAAGAGCATCTGTGTAAAAACTTTTATTAAGAATTACATCTAATAGAAACGGGGAGCCATCCATTACATTCACAATCTTACTCATTTCCTTTGCCAAAAACTTTCTAGCACCCTGGGCTCGACTTTGCTCAGGGCTCACTCGTTTCCCGAGTGGACACAGTTAACAAAATTTTCCTCAAAATCTTCTGATATAGTCCCCCCTTCATCGCTTTTTGTGGAAGTTGAATTAACTGCTGCTGTTCTAACTGGCCAGGTAAAATTTGGACAATTCTTATACCAATGTCCTTTCTGGGTGCAACGTATGCACTTCCCAGCTGCACGTAAAGTTGCATATTCTTCTGGCAATTGCTATGGAGCTGGTGGCTTTTTATGGACAACCTTTTTATTGCTGTAGCCTTAGGAATTCACAGCGTTTATAGTGGCAGCTAAAGTTGAGGTATTGATGCCGTTAATTCCAGAAATTTGCGTATCACCATCTGAATCGAGAGAAGAACGTGTAACATCTTGTTGGCTATTCCGGAATGACCGTTGGACAGAGCCACCGCTGGGGCCAGAGAACGACGGGGCGTTACCAAGTCTACTAATATACAAGGTTTTTGTATATATTGGACCATTTTTTGGAACATAATTTTCCCGTGATTCCAATCTACCAGCAATCGTCCGAACTTCTTTCACAAATTGGGTATAATTATCTTCGGAGAGTGTAACTGTCATCAACAGGTCAGTGAGGCGGTCATTCAAGCCTAGACTGAGGTCCTTAATTTTGATTCTTCCTTCCCAGTGAACTCCTCTTGCTAATGATAACATATACTCGAAATCATTCAAGTAGTTTGCAAAGGTTTGATGCTGCCCTTGCCTCATCCTCGAGAGTTTTTCTCCAGCAGTGTTATGAATTTGTTATATTTAGTCTGGATGTGGTGATGCAGGGGTTATCTTCTTAATTCGGTTAGGTCTGAGGCTACGGGATTTGGATTTGTTCAGGCTGGAAATTTGAATTGGTTCTTTAGTTCTAACAATTTTGTTACTTTTACGATTATGGTATAATTTGCTTATTGGGAACTCGATATATTGATAATATGATAATCTGAACATATGACCTCGTAACTTTGATAATCCGAGCCTCGATTACCTTCATTTGTACCTTCGCACATTTGACATTTGCACCTTCGACCTTCGCACCTTCGACCTTCGTAACTTTGTAACCTCGACCCTTCGATAATTTGTCTTCGTCGAAATCGACTCGACCTCTGCAGCTTAACAGCTTCGAAAATCTGCCAATAAGTAGATTCATAACAAGCAGATCGAGTTGATGTCTTATCTTCAAAATTATCGTTAAAATGCTCCATGAAGAGTTCATAGTTCCAGTCACTATTAGGTCCCCCTGTCGAGGCCCAACAAGAGACACGACCTCTCATATTTTTGGGCAAGGTACTTATCATGTCCATACAAACTGTTTTGTGCCCGCCCAGCAGGTCCCAATCAGACTCAATTTTGTTGGTTATCTGCATCATGTACATTTTGTATGACTCCTTTGTTCCATTCTGGCCAACACGATGCCTTCTTGATCCCGGTTGGTGGAGGCTTTAGAGCCGCCGGCGCATTGATATTATTGTTAACATTTAAAAGAGATAGAAGTTGATTAAGTTGCTCTTGAGTTAGTGAAACAGGGGCGCCAGTAAACTGATTATTGCCCAGGGTGTTTGTTACGTTAGACATTGGTAAATCCTGAATTCCCTCTTGACTATGTGTTGATTGTGGGGTATGGAATATTCCAAATTCTTCGGATGTTGTTGATGAATTTGAGTGGGTAGGCTTTGTAGATAAATTTGACTGAACAGAGCCGGCGGGTGAGGGTACTCTAAACGTGTTCATAAAATAAAGTATACGGAGTCGACTGGGAGCGGTTCAGCTAAAACTTGCACTAGAAGGGTAAAAGAGATGGTGATACAGAATACATGTAAAAGGACTGGTCACGCTAGCTGTTCGCACAAGTGAATCCAAAATGGAGTTTATATTCTGTATAACAAAAGGAGTATTTGAACTACGCAATTAAGGATATGCTGAGCCTTACGTAACCCACCCGAACTTAACTATCAAATAATGTCACGTGAACAATTATTACAAATGGAATCAGACAACTCCGATTCTAACCATACAAGGCGGTAAGCCTGTAACAAGCTCATCAACTTGTTCCGCGCTCAATTTAGATAAGCATCTTTTGCTAGGCTTAGGAATCTCTGTCTCTCGAGCACACGTAAGTTGCACTTGCCTTCTTGAGAAGCCAAGTTTGTTGGATATATGTTATAATGTCAAGCCAAGTCTTCTTTATGTTCTTATTTCAATACATTGATCGCGAGTTAGATACTTGCGAACTTTAGTTTCTAAAGCAGACTTTTCGAGAGACATTGTTTGCCGGAATAGAGGATGAATTGATAGTGGTGTTGATGATGAAGGGTTGTGCGGCCAAAAATGTCGTTGAAAATGTGTCTCTCTAAGCAATTGTTAGAACAAGACAATTGGACCACACTTCATGGCAAGCGTGGTAATGAGGAGAGACATACAGTCAGACCCCTGTCAAGACCATCCTCGTTAAGACGATATTTTTTCCAGAACAGACTTCATTCCCATACATTTACCGATTACACGATTATCGTTCTTTAACCTCTGAATATCGTCTTAACCAGGGTTTTTTTGCTAGATTGGTGCTTAAAACTCCGCCAAAAAAAGGGAATTTATGTGGAGCAACAATATTCTCTGTATGACGATATTTTTCACGGCCCTGATTACATCGTCTTAACAGGGGTTTGACTGTACTAACCTATTACGAGCTAGCCCAGCTACGCTTATAGGGCTAATCCCTTAAACATCCCAGTTTCGAGGTTAACATTTTATATCCCAGAGGCACTGTAATAAGAGAGAAGAGGTAAGCGGATTAGTAATCTCAAGTTATTCTCGTGTCTGCCTCTTAGATTTTAGCAGTTAGGATTAAAGTACTGACACGTTTGAGTACTGGTGGTGTGTGAGGGTCAATTTTTGTGATAGAATAAAATAGAATTAAAGTCCCTACTGAGTCTATGACTATGAAGGACAATCTTTGTGATATCACAGGCATTGACGATAGGGTTCTTTACTGCACAAGAGGTATTTGAACAAATCTTCTACCTTCTGGAAGCTGTGGAAGGTGCCGAAGCGTCGGCACCTTTCGCATCTACTTTCATGTCTAAGACAGAAGTCAAATCTTAGGCCTACCGAGGCATATGCTCCGACAAATATCAAATAGGTTTGGTTTGGTTTATTATTTTACGTCTATCTAATATAAATCCTAAGTAGGACATAAGACGCCAAAGCTTACTGCCCTGGATACCTGAGGCCTTTGACTGTCCAAACCTGAATTGCCAAAGCCTTTAGTTTTTGTGGGCAAAGGGTTATAGAAGGGTTATCCTGCTCCCAAACATGAAATGAATTTGCGATAGGGTTTTTTGGGCATAAAAATACTGGGACAACTAACTATCTATATATTTGAGTTAGGTTAAAGGGACAGAGTGTAATATCCTTCTGTGCAAATTTCTAGTCAGCATAAATGTGTATATCAAATAGGCAAACTTGCCATCTAACATTTACACTTAGAATTGATCATGTGCCATAAAGAGTAAATTTACTCTATCACACACAAGTCTGCAGCGCCCAGCTGGCTGGCCTCTTCGAGCGCTTCAGAAGGATCTCTATGTCTTCGGATTTAGTCATAATGTCAGTACTAGAAGAGCCCAGCACCCGGTGGCTTTTGCAATTTTTCCCGGCTGTCATACACCCGCAAATAGCCATCGTTTCGTTGGCTGGAGAGGGGAGATAATGAAGGGCTAAGGGCTCCTCTAAGTGTATGATTGAATGAGGACTTGTGAGGGGTGGTATTGTTTGAGGGTAGCCGTATGGGAGGCACAAGATGGGATATGATACTGGCATAGGTATCCTTTACCTATAAGTAGAGAGGACCTGCATGTCCTATAAAATCTTAGACTGAGAAGAACAATAAAATCATAATAAGATCATGTACCATAGTTAGATAGCTGAATAAACATTAGACAATTTGAAAAGTACAAAGATTGCATAAATTGGTATCAATATTCTCAGTCTATCAAGTTGACCAGGTTATTTTCTAAATAATTCTTGAGTGTATGAGGACTGAGCCTATCGGCGTGCCAATTCTTCAGTTCCGAAAGTGTCGAGGCTGATACACAGCCGGCATCCAGATGCTTTGTCTGGGCCTTTTTCGTCCGTGGCCCTGACTTCTTTGCCTTGACGTCTAAGCGCATCAAACTCATTTGCTCGCCAGTAAGCCCGGTGTTTTAGGCTTGGTCTGATGCCTGACAATCACCACTTAAATTCTCCTTGCTGAGTATAGACCGGGAATAGCTAAGATGAACATCGGACATCCTCGGGTATATTTTCTTCCCACTGTAATTGGTCTTCGACTCATATAAGGGTCATAAATTTCCGTAGACAGGGCGACGTTTTAATTTACCCATCACCGCATTTCACCTCGGGTTCCTTCTTACTTGGTTCGAGGAAATTGGATGTCTCATGCTTCTAGAGCAGTAAGCTCTGGAGTCCTTTTTCAGATAGGGACTAGTGTAATATAATCAATATTTAGACATTAAATAATAAACAAATAACATCGGACATCCTAGGCCAAAGATTGTAGCCGTCAGAACTCACGGGGATCACGATAAAAAACGTAATTACATTAAGGTTATTAGGAACTATTTTATACAAAGAAGAATAGGCTAGGTCACCTCGACGCCTTACAAAATTTTCTCAAACCAGAATACATGGGAGTATTAAAGATTTGTACAATAAATATTCAGGATACGTTAGCCGCGCTAACAATCGCGTCTAATGCCGAGCTTTGTGTTTGTACTGTCACCTCGCTATTCGATCCACTCCAAGCTAAACCCAGCCAACCGTTTGAATTATCTCGAGCCCAGATAGAATCCGCATTGGTTTGAATGAACTTTTTGTAGAGCGCTGCATTGGCAAGAGAAATATTAGAATCTCGATTGAGGAGGAACTGAAGGTTCCGGATAAAGATGCCCTTGAACTGTCCTTCATCACTGTTGCAGGAATTGGGTTCACAAGGCTCGTGTAATATTCCTTCGGAATCAGCCAAAGTATTAATTGCTGCCTCTGCAATTTTATGGGCGAGATTAGCATATTGACGGTCGCGGGTTGCCCAAGTTAGTTCTAGTAGACCTGAAAGTATGGTTCCTTGGTTGTATGAGAAGATAAAGTTTCTATCATTAACGCAGGTGTTAGGGTTGAGACCATCATTGATAAGATTTTGTTTATTGATGAGTCCCATATTTAAGAACCATGTAGTGGCTTTAGTAGCCTCGTTTAAATAGTAATACTCTGACGGGTTCATAGGCATTCGATTCGCCAGCTTGGCAGCTGTAGTTATATATAGCTCATTCTCAATTGCACTGATTTGTGTATGTTTCTTGTCCCACCTAAATGCGAGCAAATTAGCCGACCTGGCATAGTTTTTTTTTGATCAACTCACCAAATTCCACCACAAGGTGTCTGTCCCCAATTATTTTTCGAATCTTCAAAAATTGCCGCGGCTGTATTGAGATAGACTTGGTTTGATGTAACATCATAGACTTTAATCCATGCTAGTGCCCACCAAAGCTCATCATCGTAGTACTCGTTCAGAAAGTTGGGAGAGCCTGCAGTGGCTCTATGTAGGGTATTTGGGAAAATATGGTCAGTTACCGGCATAATAATTGAGGGAAAGTGTTCCTGAAAATCAGCCATCATCGTGATAATATTTGCGCTATCCCACCAGGTACCATTCCAGCGGCCATCATCATCATGATACCAAGTTTGTAACTGATTGATACCCGCCATGACATGATCTATGTAGTCATTTTGACTATTGCCTCGTTGAGCCAGAGGTCTGCTCTGGTGGGAATCCGTACCTTGATTTGGTAATGCGCTCGAGAGATAGAACCAAATACAGGGCACATAAATAGCGAAGCTGTAATATTGTAACATATTCCGTAATGAAAGGATTGTGTGTACTCTAAAATCTACTCGAAAATCAAGCAAGTCGACTTAAGCCAAAGCTGCTATGGCTACCTCAGACTTCTTGTATAGAATCAGTCAGAGTGCAAATGAGCAGCATTTGAAATCCTTTTAGATCTGCCAGGTGAACTATGTTTTTGAGTTTGACACATCACACGTAGACTAACTCCACGGATAATTCCCGCTAGGATTTGCGAACTCAGATTTGTATGAAATAGCTGGTCCTGGTTTCTCTCCATGATGCTCAGACCTGTTAGTATAGTTAAGATGGAGTCTTTGTGAGTTGATTAGACGGCTAAGGCTGACCCAGACGGTGATGTAACAGTATCATCTAAACCACGTCATAATTCTCTGTACAGGCTCCATCAAGTTTATCAAACGCTCAAATACAGCAAAATCGATGAAAATCTCTTTGAAAATATTTCGGAATCCAGTTGCTAGGAGATCTCTGAATCCTAATTGATCTCTAATCCAGACGACAAGGAAAAGGAAGGGGTTTGAGTGCCTCCGTGGATCCAGAAATTGTCAGCAAAATCAAAGCTAGATTGGATTATTGAAAGTAATTCCATAATTTTGTCATGATAAATTCTTGCAGACGGTTGGGTAAGGTGAATCCTATCTGGTAACGGATACTCATCGTAATCGGCCCAGCTAAGTCGAAATCTGCACGAGCTAATCGCTTATAGGAGTAGATAGACTGGCAGTTGAAACGGATGGGGGCCTACCCTTAATCTTGCATTCGTGCACGGGCACATGCAGGTGAGCATAGACTTATTGTGTCAGATCGGGTGGATGACAAAGATATGGGCCTAGGAGACGAAAGCTCGAATCCTGTCAACCGTGTTCCCTACGAAAACTCCTCCTCTCACTGCAGTGTCTGCAGAGCTGATATGGAGAAACAACTTTTAAACTTTGAGCTCAATTACTTTTCCCGCTCTAAAAGATACACTTTTAATAACACATATGACGATAACGATGCCGGAAAAGAGGAAAGATATTGCGGTACCAAACGCTACAAAGACAGTTGGAGAAGCCTTCATTATCTCACAACAGACATTACCCACTAGTGTGCAAACAAAAGCTCACGAATGCAAATTAAAAGATCCTTCTGCTCTCAATAAAACCAGATTTCGACCCGCCGTCACAACTATCTCTTCCACATATAACTTCTTACCCTACTAACCAGAAAGACGTGCAAATTATAAGTTGCTTGTTAAACTTGAGTCAGCACTGACTTTTGGATGCTAGGCTAAGCCACTTCACGGTTTAGTTCCGACTATGACTTTTGACGTCTTTTCACGATCTTGGGTTTATACTACAGCATAAATTACGGGAGAGGCAAGAAAGAGGCTTAGAAAATGGAGAGAAGCTGTTAGAGATACACAGCTTTGCTGCGCCTGGCTTGCCTGCCGCTATGAAAGCTCCAAAATGGTAGCTGTGTTTTCAGATTCAGTCCTCATGCCGGTGAGAGGAAAGTCCTGCACCCTATAGTTTAAGGATTTTCCTGCAGCTATACACCCGCAAATATCCATCGTTTTCTTCGCTAGGGATGAAGTACAATGAAAGGTAAAAGTCTCCTATAAGCTCGTGCTAAAACAGGACCTACATTAGAAGGGGTTTGCTATCAATTTCTGTAAAGTAGCTTTTCACTTTTCACTGTATTTTTTTAATTGTTTACTTATTCATTACTAAGGTCTACCGGGCCATAGTTGTGGCTAGAGCTCCATTCCTATGAGAACATAGTGACTGCCACAGAAGAAAATAAATTTATTTACAATTGCATCTAGACACGCCTTGAATAAAACCCTTTTCCATAAGATTTTGTGAGTGCTATTGTAAGAGTTTAATGAATTCAGATGTACTTGAAAGACAATAACTCGATAGGAATTAATAACTTCTTCCTTTGGAAGACAATCTATCACGGACTCTCCCATCCGTTATTTGCTCTGTGTAGACTAGTCTTAACTCCCTCCATTGGCCACCTGAGGGTTGGATGGTGCAGTGGTACACCGTCCGGGCCGTTCTCCCAAGTAGATACTGGGTAGCTTGAACACTTAATCCATTCGAGACAGGAGAAAGCTGCTTCGAATCCAGTCAGACCCACACACCACACTCTCTCGCGGTGATATTGTACTTGTGGGATGATGAAAGCACACTTGGATAGCCACAGGTTTTTCACGCTTTTCCCTGTGGTGGGTATGCACGGAAGAGGTTATACGCCGTAAGGGTTAATCTCGAGTGGTATCTGCAAATGAAATCTGAATGTGTGAGTGTTCTAAACGTCAAATTGAGTCATCCTACTTAAAGTACATATCTTCCGATAAAAACCTGCATGGGCCCCAAGGCGCCAAATCAGGATAATGAATAATTATTATTGGCCACCTGAGAATCATCCTTTCTCCCGGCTCTCTTCCTTGGCTAGATGAGGATCATCCTTTCTCCCCGGCTCATCTATTCTCCTGTACCATACCTCCCATTTGGTATGTGCCACCCTTGATACCTCATTAGCGCCCCATTCACATTTCCGTGAGCGTTTTTTTTTGAATCAGATTTTAATTGCGTATGCAGCTATCTAGCTATGACACAATATCAAAGAAATGTACAGAGTAGATGATTCAATGTAAGGGAAGAGCACTTATGCCTCAGATTTCATTTGCAGGTACCACTGCGAAGTTATGGTGGCTATTTCTTCACCCCAACTCAACCCTCATCCGCGAAAACCCACCCAGAGGAACATCTCAAAAACCCTGAGTTATCCAGACATGCCTCCATCATCTTTCAACTTTTCTCCGCGCGGAATATGGTCTTAGGCGTCTCCTTCCCAAGTGGAGTAGGTGCCCAGGCTACTCAGACTATACCGGAGAACACCACCAGGAGGCGGATCACAACACCTTCCATCGTTTGCTTGTGTTTATATTGTCAGCTGCACTCTCGCAAGCGAAGTCTTGTCGCGCACAAAGCTCAATTCGTAAAACTCCTTGCCAAAATTCGGAATCTCACACCCTTCGAGGTTATTTCCTTCCTTCGCGTCATCTTGTCAACTAGTCCTGATCCCTCTCAAGTCCATCCCAAAGAACTATCTCCCAGATTTTTGCGCCACGCATTGCTTCCTCCGTCGTGTATAAATATTGGCGTTGGCGTGTATTTGGTGGTCAACTGAGGCCAGAGAAGGTCGAAGAGAGGTGTGATCATGGGGATGAGGATGTACTAGGTTGTACTTGTAGACTTGATGAGACTTGGGTAGGATTCGAACTCGTTGGGAGTCAAAAAGCGACGTGGAGGAGTAATTTGAAATTTTGCCTCGTGGGCCAGCTTCTTTGATAGTGCGAAATTTGACTAAACTTGGCTCTGGGAGAATATTTCACTCCCAGGTTTGTAGTGGACACCGCGTACAGGTGTTCAGTCTTGCCCTCCTTACGTGAGCGTTACTCTGCCACAGCATAAACTCGAAGACGGAGTGGTTGTTCTGCACTAGAAAAGGAAAACAAACATTACTCAAATATTTGGATACATCCAAGTGCATGGCAGCACATAAAGGAAATTAAATTAGGATATCTAAATGGGAATTTTATGAATTGATTATTGAGTTAGTTGAAATGTAGGAGTTCTGGGAACTGGAATTGTAGAAAAGATGTGTCATAGCTAGATAGCTGAATACACTATGAATTAAAAAAAAAAAAAAAAAAGAAGACGGAGTGGTCCTAGTGACCAGTCCCAATCCGGGCAAAGCCCATCACAGCTATACACCGTATTCCTCACTTGAATAGATCACGTGGTGTGGATAGGGTAGATTTCACAAAGAAACTTAGACTCCCCCAATAGAGAGGTAAAGCTCTTAGCACTACGAGAGGTAGCTAGAAGAAAATAGAGAGACCCTAGACTTTTTCGGAGACCGGCAGAGGCCAACCTCTCTCTAACGAAGGGGCAAAAACCAAGCAGGTGATTCACTTGTCACCCCCGCAAGAACTAGAATGAGGGAATCTTCATGTTGAAACAGTTGGAAATATAATTGGTTATTTCTAAACACAAATATATTTCTCTACTGTATATATGTTTCTCGTGCCAGTCTCCATTCTGCATAATCACGCCAGTATTACTCGGACTCCAACTGAGACTCCTTGACACAGTTACGCTGCCCATTACCCTCGTACAAGTCGCACCTAGACTCACAGCCGTGAAATCGTTCTTGGTATGTATGGTGCTCCTTGGTGGCAACTTCCTCACTCAGCTACTTCATCCATTGATGGCACATGGCCCAAGTATAGATGAATCACATATGTACCATGACAAGCATTTCAAGATCTTGCTGGCGGTACCTGCAAGGGAAATTATTCATGATGTTAGAGATGGAGACAAGGAGTGTGGTAGACGTACGGGCCCTCCATTTCGTCTAGGTTCCCGACGCGATCTTGGTGTAATTAAGAGCTTGGAATGGGTAATTTGGTAGCGCTTCAGGCTACCTATTGGATACATGATGTGACGGGCTTTGCCCGGACTGGGACTGGTCACTAGGACCACTCCGTCTCTAAGGTAAGGTAGTGGCAGAGCAACGCCCCTGGATAGACTAAAGGGGAGCTAAGGAAGATAGCCAAGAGAAAGGATGATTCTCGTAGTGCTAAGGAAGATAGCCGGGAGAAAGGAGTATTCTCATATGGCCAAAGGGGGGAGTTAACACTAGCGTACGCGGAAGACATAAAAGGCAGGATACGATACAGTAGTTTAGCTTCCCAAGGAAAAATAATTAATTCCTATTGAGTCAACGACTTTCGAGTACTTCCGAATTCCTTGGACCTTTTACACATGAGCGGCTCTATGGCGTGGGCACAAGGAGTTTATTGGGGGATTTATTATAATTCTTATTAAAAACTTAGTCCTTGTATTGTGTAATGATCACTTTAAGGAGTTCTAATATAAAACATGGAAGGTAGACTTGTCTATGAAATCAACTCGTTTGAGGTATAAAATAATTA